CACACTGTATTATTATTATTGAGAGACAGGCTCACTGTCTGTTCCTCAGGCTGGGACAGGAGATCACATACTGGGCTGCCAGTTCAACTGAGTTCCCTCCACCCTCTCCCAGTAGGATTGGGACTTGTGATTCCGGCAGGTGTGTGAATTCTGGGGTTAGATTTGTTAATTTGGGGAAGAATGTTTCTCTAATCCCCATATATTTGTCACAGTGCAGTGTCTCTGTTTTTCCCTGCTGGATGCTGTCCTGTCTCTCTCTCATTGTCCAGCTCTGTTTCTCTAACAACAGCCGGAGAACAGATCACACACAGTATTCTTCTAAGGTCGTGTGATCTGCTAAAGAGACAGCAGTTGTACGGAGTGACATGACAGCTCTCTATGGTGGAAGTGTCTCTCTCTCAGTGTCTGTGTGTGTTTGAATATCGGTGCGATCCTTGGAATGCCGGCACAGCCCGGGTTTTCCGGATGTGCAGTTCCGGAGCGAGGGTGGGAGAGGCTCTGCTGTCTTTAGGAGTGCCTGGAGCTGCCAGGCATGCCTGCCCCCCGTGCTGTTGCCGTACGGGTTCGATTGGAGGTCGGCAGGCTGGGAAATGCCAGGCCCTCAGATACGTTGGATACTTCCCAGGTTAAAAAGTACAACTCAAGGTGAAGTGCTCTAGATTTTTTTCCGGGTAAACACTGCTGGAGCTGAGCGTGTGTTAATAAACATGCCCTTGTTGCTGTTATTATCACCCTGAGAGGCATGCCCTTGGTTGTACAAGCATGTCCTCATTAATGTTGTTTGAATTAGTAGCAGTAGTTTCCCATTCTTCACCTCTTTGAAATGCAAGTTCATATTTGAATCTCTAAATCTTTTTCTCTGTCCCTGACATTCAGTCTTGTTTTCTGTTTCACAGAAACTCTCAAATCCACGTCACCGTTTACTGACATGGGTTAACACCTGTGTGTTACCTAATGTGCGGTGTCATTTTCTCTCACAGCTCAGTGTTAATGTCCTGGAGTGTCCAGTCAGTGTGTCTGGACTGTATTAACCCCTCTCTCTCAGTGCAGTGTTAATGTCCTGTAGTGTCCAGTCAG